TAAGAACCTTGTCCTCAAGGTTCGAGTAGAGCCACACGGACAATATAATGTTGAATCTTCCAAGACTCAAGTGTGTGTAGAGAGCTGCAATAGTGGTGCGAAGTATAAACCAAACACTGTCAACTTGCAGAATTGAGGAAACAAATTCATTTCCTTCGCCTTTAAAAGAATTCCATATTACCAAGAATCATAACAAAAGCAACAACTCTAAACAATTTCATCTGCTCTCTTTTGCCAAGCCAAGCAATTTTCAATACCTCTTTTATATTAACAGAATCATGAGCAGAAGTAATACATGCTACTATTTCATAGCAATAAGATTGTTGGAGATAGGAAAATGATTCAGGATCCCTCAATCTACACTTTTCGTTTACCTCCATAGGTGTTTCACAGAGAAGGGAGAGATAATGATGTTTCTGTTGAAGAATTATAGCAAGAAGGGCTTGAGAGCTTGCGAAGAGAGGTCGTCTCATGGTTGCACCGGATGTTTTTCTAAGCTCTGCAAGCTGAATCTGTTGTGCTACAGTGCGCTCTTCAACAAGTCTATGGCCACCGAAATGGGCAAGATAGCACATAAGTCTCGTAGTAGTTATAAACTTCCCCCAACTACTCAAGATAGAATTACATTTACTCTTCTCGAGCATTGACTTGTGAACAACATAAGCATCAACAATTGAAGCACCTTTCAAAAATTCAAGCTCACTTTCAATCTATATAGCATAACTAGCTGGTACACCTTGAGCGCCAAAGAAAACCATGATCTCCTCAAGCGTAGAGAAATTACACAACTCCTGCTCAATCGAGTCTACCATAGTCTTGATGCAACCTTGTAGACATGCTAAATAAGCAGATATAGCATGCTCAACTATTTTCTTTTGTGAACAGACATCACCTCTTATTGCTGCATACCTTACCTTACTCTTTGGAGCTTGGAGAACAAAAATTAGTTGTGCTAGTAGTTGTTGCAGGAATCGAAATAATTTGGGAAGACATATAATATCCAGAGGTGCAATTGATTGTATCTCTCTCGATGAAACTCTTTGGGAACTGTCCTCAAACACACGGTTCACCTCAGCGCATGTATCATCCACTTTTAATTCCATCACTACCATCTTGTATGCAATTGCCCACTTAGCAAAAGTGTCCCGAGAATTAAAATTCAAAGAGGTGACTGCTGTCAATGCAAAGACAAATAGCAAATTGGAGAATGCATGCACCTTTGTTGTCCGGGATCCCACACTTGAGTGACGGAGTTAGCATAAACAATGAAGCCAAAAGTACCAGTAGAGCCCAACAATAATGGTGGCTTCGTGTTCACTGTACCTATGAGAGCCTTAAACTTGAAACTTATACCCGGATCCCATATACAAAGATATGTTGCAGTTCCATGAATAGCGGCAATATCACCATGATTAAATAAAAATTGACACAAAATATTGCGAGCACTGAATTCATCACTAAACTTTCCATGCTCCACAACAAGCAATCCATCCGAAGGCAAGTTACTTCGTGGACTGCTATCCTCGCTCTCCATAAAAAAATCATTAAGATATAGCTTCTCAATTGTCTTAGGCTCCACGAGAAACTCAGCAAGAGACTTGTCGTCAAAGGTCTCAAATTCAATTTTCTGCTTACTCAAGCCACGATCCAAAGACTTAGCAGTAACATACCTCTTTGACATATCTTTTGGGGAACCTTCATCGAGCAGTTGGACTTCACTGTGTTTAGGATCTGATGCTTGTTCATCAAGCATTTTGAATGGAGTATCGGGTTGCACCTTTGCGACTACAATGGGGCAGTAACTATGAAAACATTTGTCGAACTCCTTAGGCGACTGAATATGGTTCAAATCAGCTACAACGATAGAGGCGGGAGAAGTTTCTGCCACTTCGTTGGTGAAAACTCCATTAGACATTTCATCGAACACATAGTCCACATGACCTGAATGGTCAGGGATAGATGTGTCTAAACAGTTCTGGATGACCCTCAATATAATCCACAGGGCTTGAGTTTTCTTCGATTAAAGGAGACGCCATCTCTCCGCTAAAGACTGTAGGAGTACAAATCCCAGTATTTTCTACTACAACCTGTTGAGATGTAAATGCATATTT